TAGAGCTTTGTTCTGGGATGCCACTAAGTTACTTGGAAACAGTCTGATCCTTCCAGGTCTTGCTTTTAAGCTCTGGTCACCAGTATTAAAGTTGCATTCAGTATAGGGCTGATTGTGCCCCATCATGAGGCCAAACGCTCTCGTATGACCCAATTACGGATGGATAGGACTTAGGAGGCTTCCTACTCTGGATGGTGAGATCAGGAACTACTCCTGGCTCTGCCTGAGCTCCCGGGCATGCTCCCTCTAATGCTTCCAGGTGGTTCTCTGGCCCTGGTTGGTTCCTCAGCTGAAGCCCTGTGGGGCTCTGCAGCTCTGCAGTCCCTGCCTCAAGGTCCTGCCTCCTGGGCCTCCCACATGCCAGAGCCACGCCCTCAACTCAAGGAGCAGGCTGGGCTCTGCCAGCCCCTACCTGGGGTCTCCCTCCCTGTGCAACAGCTTGGCAACCATGGGGTTCTCATTTGTTTCCTATTTCTCAGGGGTCACTGTCCTTCATTGTCTGACATCCAAAGTCTTGAAAACCACTGTTTCACACAATTTGTCTGGCATTTTAGTTACTTCAGGCAGGAGGGTAAATCTGGCTCCTGTTACTCTGTATTGGCTGGAAGCAGAAGTTTATTTAACTGGTCTAAAGCTTCAGATTTCATGTCCAAGTGATGATCCCTACTGTATATGGACTGTGTCCACTGTGTACATGGATTGTGCAAGGTATCTTATCTATGTATCACGTATTTTAACTTAAGAGAGGGCTACTTACAAATGTCAGCTATCAGTCTCGCTAGAAGAAGAGCATTTGAAAGACAACATTCTAGAGCTTATCCAGGATTCACAGATGTCAGAGCACGCGCCAAGCAGCAGGTAACTCAGAGAGTGTGAGCACGTATGTGGAAGGACACTGAGAGAGGCTGGAACAAAATGGGGATTTCAGAGGGAGGCAACATTACTCATTACTGTGCCCAAATCCATCGGGTTTCCCGAGTCCCCACTCTTGGAGGTAAGTATTTCCTCCACACAGACAAAAAGTATTTTTGAAGGAGTATTTTAGGTTTTTTTACTCTCCTGACTCTGCTGGAAAGTAAAGGAGGTGAATTAACATTTACTATGCGTTTTCTTTGTGCCGGTTACTTTATACACATTATCGAATACCTGCCTGCCCCCGCCCAAGCTTTATTACGACAATTTTGCATCATACAAAAAACATGAAAGAATTCTACCGGAAACACCCATACACTCACTACCAATAACACTTTACTGTGCATGCCTATTCGTGTATCCACCTGTCTGTCTATCCACCCAGCAGTCCATCTTGCTTCTGCAAGTGTCTCAAAGAGAGCTGCAGACATCAGCAGAGTCTCTCCTAAATCCTTCAACATGCAAATCATCAACTATGGTCAGTATTAGTTCACAGTTCTCTCTTGAGAACTGTTTACATACAGTAAGTGTATGGACCATAGGCACGCCATTCCATCAGTGTTGACAACTGTCATCCCCGGGGAAGTAGCCTCAAGCCCCTGCCAGTCATCCCCGCCCCCGCCCCCCGCCGCCCCCATGTCCCCCAGGCAACCATGGGTGTGATTTCTGCCATCAAGATCCATTCAGTTTGACCTGTTCCAGAATCTCCTGTAACTGGAGCCACACAGGAGCCACACAACCTGTAGCTGTCGTGGGCCTGCTGCCGCCTCTGTTAAGCAGTCAAAGGCCAGCTCCAAAGCCACTAGGGCCACCCCTCCACTGGGAACAACTGTCCTTATCAACACTCCCCACCAGGACATGATCTTTTTTTTGGTAAAGATTTATTTATTTACTATTTGAGAGAGAGAGGGAGAGAGAAAGCATGAGCAGGAGGGGCAGACGGAGAGGGAGAGAGAATCCCAAGCAGACTCGCCGCTGAGCAGGGAGCCCGATGCGGGGCTCGATCCCACGACCCTGAGAGCATGACCTGAGCCGAAACCAAGAGTCAGACGCTTAGCCCACTGCGCCACCCAGGCGCCCCTCACCAGGACATGATTTTAAACGGCTTTTCAAAGTACATCCTTAATTATTTATAACAACTGCCACTGTCACCATTTGCTAAGTGGACTCTCCACAAGGCGGGTGCTGCACCTGCTTCACTCACCACACACAGCCTCGCTGCACCAGCAGAAGAGTCAGTTCACACTGCTATCGTGACAACAAACAGCTTTGGGAACATATTTGATTATTTCCTAAGATTGAGTCTTATTTAGATTATTCAGAGTTATGAACTACTTATTCTGTAAGTAGTATAAGTCCACTGCCAGATTTTCAGAAAACAAAGGTAAACAAAAGGAAGAAAAAAATCAGCCACAATAGCACCTTCCGGACGTGACTTATCATTCGCTGTGTATCTTTACAGAGTTTTCAGTGTATACATCATTTTTTT